CAAAAGTAAACACGTTGGGCGCAAACTACAAAATTTATAAATTATTGAAAACTCCTTGGCTCTTGTTGATAGTCATGGCGTACGATATCATAATGGGAAACTGACACCTCTAGAACTTGAAAGGAATTCGGACATCGAAATGAGTAATAGCCATTCTAGGAATCAACATCTTCTGCCCTGCGTGATCCCCAGTTAGTATCTTACATTAGAGAACATGAGTGAAGAGTTTTGTGACAACCAACCGCGTCCCATTGCATAGACCCATAGAATGATCCATGTTACGTAACAACATGACGGGAGTTCTAATCTTCAAATACAATTGATGATTTGAAATTTCGAAAAATTTGGTACTATTTAAAAATTCAGTAGTGTGGATATTAGCCAGAAAATCTTTATTAGAGTTCGACTTGCAAATACTATCAGAACTTAAGTACGTCTGACCGTCACATAAATTCAACGATGTCATGTACTTATTGATAGACTCAATATCATCTAGCGTCGGTGCTAATATTGCCCTGTCCTTTAAATAGCTGGAACCATCGGTTGCCTGCTTAAACATTGGATACGTGCTCTCTGCAATTTGGGCAATCGGATTATCAGAGGGATCAAGCAATATATCCTCAAGTATGTCTATCATTGCACAACCATCATTAGACCCTCCTATGATTCCATCTCCAATGCTCGTTATCCATTCTGCAAACCGAGCAACCTCTTCACATTCTTCTGAATTCATAAGGCTTTGAAGACGCATGTTTAGCAAGAGTAATTATAATCAGTTTAAAAAGTAAAGTGTATTAAAAAAATTCAATAAAATTGTAATTGTAATTGATATAAAAATCACACATTTTTTTCCATACTATTAAGCATTATAAATTAATAGAATTAACAAACACATTATAGCATATTTAAGTAATATAAAGTAGCCTAAGTAAACAATAATATAATTGGTATTAAATGAACACATAAGTTGACCAAAAAATTGAACAAACAAATACATAAACATCCCAATTAACATTTTCACTTAACAAATTTTCCAATTAAGTCCATTAATTAACATACATAAAAAGAGTTGGTCTTATTGTAGCGAAAAATTGGCTTATGCACAAAAGCCCAACTGAATCGGGTCCCAAAAGCTTTGTCCTTATTGAATCCA